TGCTGCTTTTGCTGAGTAAGCAAATAGCAGTCCTATCCAAAAACTTTTGCTAAGGGAAACAAGGCAGATTACAGCTCAGGTCTCAGTATTCAGTCTTTCTTCTACAAATAGATATGACAAATTGATATTAGTTATGTATGAAAGCTTTAGGCAGCAAACTTGCTCATTCGGTTTCGTCTTCACTACAGAAATAAAGACGGCTGATATTATTGCACCAAAACATACATAGCTCTGCATGCAGCTATTTTTATCTCAGACACATCTGTCCTATTTCAAGATGTGCTGAGAACCCAAAACTAACTGGAGGCCCTGGGAGATGCTAGAGCTCAGCACAGCTACAAAACAAAAATAGGCAGGCTGATGCTTAGAAACATAGTTTCAGAAGTAAAACCTAAGCCAGAAAGTGTCCTAGAAACAATGATTTACCACTATTTTTAGATCTTAAAATGCATATTTTAAAATAACGTATTTGTTTTGTTAAGAATAGTCATTTAGGCCCTCAAAATTATGCAGTGCCCACACTGAGCTACTTACTAGAGATGTGAAAAAGCAGTGATACCCAACATTTTTAAGCACAAGATCACTTTTTTGAATTTAAGTGCAATCCAGGAACTACCTCAAACCCAAATACCCTTGCCTCACCTCCTTTTTGCCCCTTCTTCAAGGCCCCAGCCCTGTTTACTGCATCTTCTCTCCCTTTCATCAGGCGGGGCAGAGGGTTGGGGTTCAGGCTTTGGTCTTGGGTTAAGGGATTCAGAGTGTGAGGGGCTCTGAGCTGAGCCTGGGGCAGGAAGTTGGGGTGCAGGAAGGTATTCAGGGAACAGGCTCTGAAAGGGAGTTTGAGTCTGGGGGGTGGGCTCAGGGCTAGGTCAGGGGCTTGCAGTGCAGGAGGGGGTTTATGACTGGAGCAGGGGTTCAGAATGCAGGCTCCAGCTAGACACTGCTTACCGCAGGTGGTGCAGTGGAGCTAAGGCAGGCTCACCCCTGCCCTGGCCCTGCATCACTCTCAAAAGCTGCCAGCAAACTCCCTCCATCCCAAGCCCTGTTGTGTCCCTCTCCATCCTGTGGAGACAGAATACAGGGGGGGAGGGGGACACCCTGACTTCAGTGTCCCCCTCCTCTCCCTTCCCTTCCCTTCCCTGCCCTGCACAGCAAGTGTGTGTGTCGGGGGGAGGAGGGGACAGCTCCAAGGCAAAGGGCAGGAGATGTGCAGCAGTGGGGGAAAGAGGCAGTTGAAGTACCGGCATTTGATAGCTTCTTGGCCAAATCAGTTAAGATCACCTGTCAGAGGCTCCAAGATCTACCGGTAGAATTTACTGGTTGGGGACCACTGTGAAAAAGTAACCATTTACATGGTTAACTGATGAGCATGGGCTCATCGGTTAACATGCATGGTTACACACACCCTCCTCCCAGTGCTGCTGCCCCTGATGAGAAGCCGGCTCCATGTACCAGCTCCCGCAGAGCCACCTGCTTCTCCCTCTGATGGTGCTGCCTCTGATGCAGCACAATATACATACAGCATAACGTATATAATTTTACTGCACCTATTTCCCTAGTTTCTTTTCTCTATGTTCAGTACTATTCCCTAATCTCTCCCCAGTCCTCTGACCTCACTTTTCCATTCTGGTCCTTCTACTCTTGACTTCACATCTCAAACATCCATAAGTTTCAGAATGTTCCATCAGCAAAGCCCTCCCTCAACCTTTGAATTCCTCCTAAAAACCCTACTACAACAACAAAATCCTTCCACCTCATCACCAGTTCTCACGTCCTCCTTTACCTCAGCAATTTGTGTTATCAGGTGATTGATTTGATCAATGTAGGGCCTGAATACTCTGCATGTGAAACTCCTACTGAACCCAATGGAAGTTTTGCAGAGGGCTTATGCCAGGGAAGGGGAACCTGTGACCTGCAGCTTGCCTTGATCCATCCCACAAGGCTCGGGGCCTCCCTGCCTTCCCTACAGCAAGGCAAGTGAGCACTGGTACTCCAGCCACAGGGACAAGGGGACCACAAATGTGTGACTTGGCACCCCCACGTTGCTGGAATACAAGCACTGGCTCTCCAGCACAAGGAGGGGGAGCCTGGAGCCTCACAGGCGGGATCGAGCCAAGCCACAGGCCTCATGCAAACTCTGCCTGGCAGCAGGAGGGAAACCACTTTGTGCAATGCCATTGCCCTTCCCCCAAAGCTAGGCGAATGGCAGCACAAGGAATCTCTGTTCTGCATTCAGTTGCAGGCTCCTCTCTAGTCCCTTTCATTGGACAGGAATCATGGCCAATGGTATCTGTGGGAGGGGATGGTATCTGCAAGCACAAGGTAGCACAGAGCCACTTGTCCCTCTCCGCTGCACCAGGTAGTCGCCACAATCCTCCCAGATCTCACACCTCCAGCCAACTCCTGCACTAGGGATGTAAGCTACTAGCTGAGTAGTTGCTTCCCCTCCCTGTTGCCTCTATCAGAGAGAGGCAGCAAGGGGGTGGGGGAGCAGAATTCGGTGCTGGGGGGAGCTGGCTTAAAAGCCAGTTCCTCCCAGCACCGTCTCTGTGGGAAGAAGGGGCAGGGAATGTGGAGAACTGGTGGGGCTTACACTTTTGAATTGCATCAAGAGCAGGGCTCTTGCTACATTTCAAAAGCACAAGCACTGCAGGAAGCCTGGGGCGAGCTGTGGACTCAAACAGTCCCCTGTTGGCCCCATACTCCATGATCCCTACTTTTAAAATGTACAAGAGCCCCAGATGTCCAAAGGAGGGAGCACGCGGTGCTTCTGCCTTTGAAATGCAGCAAGAGCTGGCAAAGCTCTTGCTACATTTCAAAGGCAGAGGCGCCCTTATTGACTAATCGAATAGTCAATACAAATTACATCAACTATTTGATTTGTTGATTAATCTAAATTTAACATCTTTATCCTGCACTCCACCTCCAAACCAGATACCACACAGCCCCATGCACTCCTGCCCCAACAGCTCCCTCCTGCACACTGAACATCTTATTTTGGGTCCACTCCAAAACAAAAGGGGCCTCACAAAATTTACTAGCTCCGGTCCTGCAGAAGAGTTAGTCCAGCCCTGGGAGGAATCCCTAAGCCTCACCAGTCTCTGCATGCCCTCCTCCCCTCTCCTGTGGGGCTGGAGTGTGAGGGGAACGAAGTGGGCTTTTTCTCCCTTTTGCTTCTCAGTTGGGAGCAATGTCTCTAAGGGCTTTTTTCCTCCTTAGCTGGAAACCAGGTTAAGAATTGGTTTGGGGGGTTCTTTTTTTTTTTTTTGGCTTCTCAACTGTGTGGATTTGCTGAATTATTTTTCTGTAGGTTAGTGGCCTCTGACCACAAAAAAGTTTCCCTATCCCTAGCTTACAGGATTAATAACTTCAGAAGGGTAGACGAGTTAATCATCTGAAGAAGTGGGTTGTGCCCACGAAAGCTCATGATACCATCTACTGTTTTGTTATTCTTTAAGGTGCTACCAGACTATTTACTGTTTTTTAAAGTTTTTACAGAATTAAGCACCCTTTAATTGTCAACTCTTTAGGGCAGAGAATGTGTACCATGTAAGTTTGGGATGTGTAGTCAAGGGGTGTGGCCTCCCTCAGAGAATGAAGCCGTTCCCTGGTGAGAGGAACCCAGAATGCCTAGGCTGCCATGATGGAAGCAGAAGGGTGGGAAAGAAACCAGAAATATAACAGGCAGGCCATGTTGCTCAGGGAAGGAGACAGATGCTTCTTGCCCTTTACTGGAATTGGAAGTGGCAGAAGACTTCTGCTGTCCTCAGGATACCTCCAAGGTACCAGGACTACCACTGGGACACAGAGGACAACCCCAGGGTTCACGTACACCTGGAGGAGAAGCGAGGAAGGAGTCCAGAATTACCCCTTCAGTCAGTCTGCAGTCAGCTATCTTAAATGCTGTCAGCATATCATGGTGGAATTCCTCACTGATCCAGTGGCAAACAACTCTGCCACTGTTAGGACCTTAGGCTGGGACAAAGTGGAGTCGCATGAATATGGGTCCCCCTACCCATGTGGTGGCAATATTCCCCTTCCCAAGGCCAAGAGGCCCATGCTTGTCTGTCGCCCACCAGAGGCATAACGACAGACTGGGGGTGTGTCTAGACTACAGGGTTTTGTTGACAAAAGTGGACTTTTGTCGACAAAACTATACCTGCGTCCACGCTACTGCTGAGTTCTGTCGACATAACGTCGACAGGACTCAGCAGTTTTGTCGACGCTGGTAAACCTCATTTCACGAGGCATAACGCTTTCTGTCGACAGAGTTCTGTCGACAGAAAGCATTATTGCATGTAAACTGTCCTTGCGTCTACACTGCCGTGTCGACAAAGCAGCTTGCTTTGTCGACAGAACTGAATGTAGTGTAGACGCTCTTTGTCGACAGAAGCTTTGTCGACAGTATCTGTCGACAAAACTTCTGTCGACAAAACCCTGTAGTCTAGACGTACCCTGGGTGTCTAACTACTGGTGTTCCACCTAGACCATTTGCTGGGTGCCGCACCCTAGCCAAGTGTCTGGACCCAGAATAACTCGCTGCTACCTAAGGGCTATGTGGTGCCCCGCCCTCGTTGAGGGCCTGGGCTCCTGAACTAGTTGCTGTTTCTACCCTGCCCAAGAACTGGAGCTGGCTAACTTCCTCCTTTATTTAGACTGTGATTTCAGTAGAATCAGCAAAAGGGTTTGGCATCCCTCAGAGACTGACAGCAAGTGGGAGCCACACCCATCTACATGCTTCCAGGGCACATGATTACATAATACAAACATTCATTGCCATCTATTCATCAAAAGCACTAGAAATTAATCAAGTATTATTAGCTGTCTTGAGAAAAGCAGCAGAGGAGGGGAAGAAAATCTCCTTAAAAAAAAAAAAAGAGAATATTATGGAATTCTGATAGCCTATTTTAAATAAGGAAGAGGAGCAAGAATATACTCAACTCATGTTTAACGTTTTGATCTTCCTCCATTAATTCATTATGATCTTTCATACTACATACCTGAATCATCAGCTAATCTGCTGATTCTTTCCAGCACAGCAATACAATCTCTCTCATCATCGCTGACTTCCTTCAAAGTGTCCAGCAAACTTCGCGCCACCATTTGCCTAGTTCATAAGAGAATAAATATCATACAATTTTTGGAAGCAATAAACAGAACGTTTCTGATTACTCAATATTTCTTTGAGGGTGAAGGAGTTTTTTTAACCACACTATAAAAAAAAAAGGATCTAAATAATTTTAAGCTAATAACTTCAATTAAAATAATCTTAAGAAAACTAAGACGTTAAAGAACTATGCTATACATCAGAACTATTAACATTAAATGTGCAGTCTCCCTTCAATTTACAAGAATAAGGAACTTAGAAGCAATGTCAACATCCTGGAATTATTCCCCATCTTCAGGGCAGATGAATATCGAGTGTGTCAAATTTTCATCCTCAACAATGAATTCTCTTACTTGACAGAGACAGGCGAAACTCTTGCTTTTAGAACAGCTTTTTGATTGAAAGCATGAGCACTCAGTAGAGACTAACTACAGCCAAACTAAAAGATAACTTACCAATGCTGCACTTTGTCTAAAGCCTAAACAAAGTCATGTACATACATCATGAAAATAAACAGAACCACAAGTACAATTCTGTTTATGCTTGGGACATACATGAAGAATAATAGAAATGCAGCATTCATGTAAATAAGAACCACCTAATTCACTATTTTTAACTAATTAAATTTTTATAATTAACCCAAAACATCTCAATATTGACACTAAAGTCTAGACTACAAATGTAAACAACAAGACTAATTTGTAAACTAAAACTGTAATTTGTTAGTGACATGGATTGCCCTAAATGAAATGTGTTCAGGTAGCATGGTTACTACCTGGTTAGTAACCATCACCACTATCAACATTTTGCCTTGTAAGCGACCAACACAGAGCATGTGGTTTTCTTTGCACTTTTTGGCCACACAGATGAGATACTCACAACTGTCATCAGTTTGGATGGTCCTTTAGCTCTCTTTACAGTAAGAAAACCAAAACTGAGTACATTGCCCCCACAAGCTGCAGGCTCTTTGTGCACGTCCTTCAAACAATCTATTCCATTCCTGAGGCAGTTAAAGGATAACTGCCTAAATAGTCTCAGAATGAACAGATACTAACACAGTGACGTAGGTGTGGACGCACAGTCTGTTAACAAATGGGAGAGCCATGGAAAAATTCAGCTGTGCAGACAAAGATCAAACACATTAATTAAAACTGGATCACATAAGAGAGTCACAGGCTGGGTTACCAATACATGTTTGGATTTCTCACATAAGCAGGGCTTTAGGAACTTTGCAATTCATTTAAATAGAGCCAGGAAAATACAGGTGATTACCATGAATGTAAAGCCTCAACACTAACCATCATTTAAACTTTTCTAGAATTAAAATGAGTATTTTTTCCAATCTCAAAAGTAATCCAGCCATATTACACACTAGCCACCAGCAAAACTGTTTTAAACAAACAAAAAAGTAAGCACTCTTGTTTTTCTTTAAAAATACAACAGAGACTCTTCACTTTTTCCAAGCCTGCTCTTGAAATAGGATCACCCATGCCAAGTTTCAACCTGTAAAGTGGTACATATTTCTAAATAGAGAAACAGCTAATAAAAACATGCTCATTGACTAAACTGGAACAGAACAAATTCTAGTTTGATAAATTTTTATGCTTCATTCAAATGTTTTGTAATCAATTGACCAAAAAGTATCCATGTAGTGTTCGTGGAGAGAGAAGGTGACCAGACTAAGGATGTTAAAATGTGATTATTTGGCTAACCGTATAGTCAATATAATTTGTATCTACTATACAATTAGTCAATAAGCGCCTCTGCAGAGCCGCAGGGGAGATAGCTCCAGGAGCCAACTGGAACTTGTGCCGGCTCCAGAGCTACCCGTGCTGTGGCTCTGCATTTTAAATGTAGTAAGAGCAGCTGGGCTCTTACTACATTTAAAATACAGAGATGTAGTGATCAACACAAGCTGGGACTGCTCAATCCTGGCTTACTCATTGTCCAGTAGCCTGTTTGCGGTGGACAGGGGCTGGTGCCGGAGCAGTCTCTATTCACGGCGGCCAGCCCTGGCCATGGCACACAGGCTGCTCTGGCACCAGCCCCTGTTCGTGGCCATCAGGGCAGAAGCCCCTCAGGGAGTACAGGACCAGTGGGAGAAGCTGGCTCCAAGCTTCCTGTGGGGCTTCCTTTTGAAATGTACATTTCAAAGGCTCAGGTGCTGCAGGGAGTGAGGGGTCCGTCCTCTCCTGGAACCATGCTCCATGTGGGGCTTCCGCTTTTGAACTGCAGCAAAAGCCCAGAAATCCCACTGACTATTCAATTAGTTAACTGATCTAAATTTAACATCCCTAATTTAGATTGAATTGGGATGCTTACATGGAGAATTTCTTCCATTCCAAAGAGCATATCTTTCCTGCATGTGGCTGTCTACTCTGTATGAGAATTTCCTTAATTGCTGGAAGCTCCATCAGCTAACATTCAAGTCAACAAATGCAAAGATAGTGGGTCTGGGTGCAGAATCTAATTGCAATTTTGTGATAGCATATCTGGGCAGGCTGGGAAATGGATACCTGCAATAGGTCTGTAAACCAAAACTGCTTTGGCCAGTAAAGATCTCTGAGAATCAATGTAGCCCCTTCTGACCTTGGCCATCAATCTGGTGAATGGTGAGAAAATTGGTGGAAATGCATTCATGACTTGAGTCTATTGTTGGAGGAAGCAGACTGGCAAAACAACAGGGTATGTTACTCTTCTGGAACAAAAAAAATTTGGGCATTTGGCACTATTCTGTCAGTGAAAAGATCAACTGTGGAAATCCCATACTGACCAAATACCAGTTCTGTAATGGATTTTCACAGAAACTACCCACTTCTGACTACTGCAGGTCTACTCAAAAAGTCTGCTAGGTTGTTGCTGATTCCTGGAAGAGAACAAGCCAATGGAATTATCCCATGTTGGGCAATGTGTCACAGCTTGATGACTTCCTAACAGAGAGGTGATGAACCAGCCCCTCTATTTATATTGCATATTGGCCATCAAGAGCCGTATCCTGGAGTTCCATAGGAGGGTATCATAGAATCATAGGACTGGAAGGGACCTCAAGAGGTCATCGAGTCCAGCCCCCCACCCTCAAGGCAGGACCAAGCTCCATCTACACCATCCCTGACAGATGTCTATCTAACCTGTTCTTAAATATCTCCAGAGAGGGAGATTCCACCACCTCCCTTGGCAATTTATTCCAATATTTGACCACCCTGACAGTTAGGAATTTTTTCCTAATGTCCAATCTAAACCTCCCCTGCTGCACTTTAAGCCCATTACTCCTTGTCCTGTCCTCAGAAACCAAGAGAAACAAATTTTCTCCTTCCTCCTTGTGACACCCTTTTAGATATTTGAAAACCACTATCATGTCCCCCCTTAATCTTCGTTTTTCCAAACTAAACAAGCCCAGTTCATGAAGCCTGGCTTCATAGGTCATGCTCTCTAGACCTTTAATCATTCTTGTCGCTCTTCTCTGTACCCTTTCCAATTTCTCCACATCTTTCTTGAAATGTGGCGCCCAGAACTGGACACAGTACTCCAGCTGAGGCCTAACTAGTGCAGAGTAGAGCGGCAGAATGACTTCACGAGTTTTGCTTACAACACACCTGTTAATACAACCTAGAATCATATTTGCTTTTTTGGCAACAGCATCACACTGTTGACTCTAAAATGCCATATTAGCCAGTCTTACAGTCATGAACTCCAGGATGTTTATGTTTCAAGTCATCTTGATGCCATGTTCCCTAGACCTACAATTTGTTTAGCTAGGCTCCCTATCCTGCTCCTAATGTGTCTGTAATGAGTGTCATTGTCAAAGGGAGCAGAATACGGAGCATCCTTTTTCCTGCTCTTGGGATCTAATCACTACCAGAGGTCTCTCAGGACTTAGAGTTGGACCTTTGGTCATGTAGTAGACAGACAAGGAGTACACTCTCCTCGGCCAAATTCGTAGGAGCCACAGATGAAGTTTGGCACATGATGTCAGTTATGTGCCCACCTGGCAGCCAACTAGAACTTGGCAAGTCTATGCTGTCATAGTTGGACTTGACTTTAGGTTGTTTATTATTGATCAGAAAATGTAGAACCAGGCCTCTGGAGATAGACTTTCACCAACAGAGAGTTGATTGTATGAACTCTATCATTTGTGATGGAATGAAACAAGAGTTAGTCTCCTTCTGTGATCTGCCTCTGATCAACCAATTGTCTAAGTACAGGAAGACATGAATATCCAGTCTCCTTAAACATACTGCCATCACCGCTAGGCAATTTGTGAAGATCATCAATCCTACGGAGAATCCAAATGGCACTACCCTGTATTGGCAATGGTTGGGCACCCTGTGCATCACAGGTACTTCCTGAGGGCTGTATGGATGACTATATGGAAACACATCCTATAAGTCAAGCCACTAATCAGCTTTGAGCTTTAAGAGATGGAATAAGAGAGGCAAGTTTTAACATCCTGAACCGAAGGCAAGGTATGTATATGTGGAGTCTCCTCAGATCTACCAAAGCATGAAGACTAGGGATGTTAAAATGCATGTAATTAATTAACCTTGTAATCACTGAAAATTTCAATGATTACACACAAAGCGGCAGTCGTCTCCCCAGGAACCGGTGTGTAAAGGCCAGCTTTTAAGACAGCTCTTTGCACATACTGGCTCCTGCCTCCTCCCCCCACCACCATGCTGCTGCTTCTGATACAGAAGCAGCAGTGTAGGGTGGCAAGTGGCTTTTAAGCTAGCTCTCCACACATATCAGCTCCTGCCTGCAGCCCCACACTGTTGCCTTTGATACAGAAGCAGCAGCACAGGGCAGCAGGCGGCTTCTAAGGAGCAGGTGCAGACTAGAAGCCAGCTCTCTCTATGCCAGGGGTGTCCAAACTTTTTTCAAAGAGGGCCAGATTTGATGAAGTGAATATGCGTGAGGGCCGACCATTTTGCCTGACATTCTTTGAACCATTAAAATTAAATGCAAATTAACTATTTTATGCAAAGTTTATTGCAAACGGCATACTTTTCATTTCGTCACATGGATGACCAATCTAAACAGGTGTTAAATCACTCTGCCTTTCATATCTGAAGGCCAGATGAAAAAAAAATCCAGGAAGCTGAAATATATGTCAGGAACATTGTAAAGTACATTACATATTATTGGTAATAAAGGTTGTCTGTCAACTTTTAAGTTCAAAAAATATGAACAGGAACATAACACCAAGTATACATGTTGTGTCCAAATATATTTATAACTGATTTAGACCAACTGACATTAACTGAGATTTTACAATGTATTCATCTCAATACATATGGATTCGTTGGGGGCCATAAAAGATAGATATTGCCAAATTACCTGTGGGGCCGTATTAAACCGGAACACGGGCCGCAATTGGCCCGCGGGCCGGACTTTGGACATGCCTGCTCTATGCATACCAGCTCCTGTCTGCCACCCCACGCTGCTGCTTCTGAGGCAGCAGTGCAGGGCAGCAAGCAGCTCCTGTACAGGGAGGTAGGTGTAGCCATGTTAACCATTAACCATGAACATGGTTACACTTTCACATCCCTAATGAAGGCCTACTTTCTTCAGAAAGAGAAAATAAAGAAAAAAGAAGCCTCTTTCC